GGGGCCGCATTCGGCCCCCGGGCCGCAGGTTGCCTACCCCTGTTCTAAGGGATTCTGGCATTTGTAGTTTGCAGAAGTCCTTAGAATTATCTGCTTGAGAATTCCAAAGCTGTAGTTCCGGAAGGTGGACCAAGGCAGTGGTTTTCTCTGTGGTCCTCCATGTATTTTGGACTTCATCTTCCAGAAGCACCATCCAGTTGGGCCAGTAGTTATAAATCTTGGGAGTGGAAGTTCAGAACAAAAGAGTGAGAACCACTGGACTAAAGCTCTTTAGCAGAGAATGGAAACTCTTTACAAACTACAAATTGTAGGCTTCTAAAGGATGATGGTGCCATGCAGATTGAAGAGGCATCAGACCACTATAAGTGTGTGCTGAATGCACATTCCAACACTGTATCTGCACAATTAGAATGGTTTCACTCCACGTTTAACTCTAGGGAGTTTATCGCATGCACTTTTCAGCCCGATCCATGCACAGGATGGTATTGGGCTGGAACGGGGAGAAACGGGTTTTACCGCACTTGAAGTTGCTGCTGCTCTTCTGGCTGACCATCACTTGTCCTCGATCTGGCCTTTGCCATCCACTTTTGGTAGCAGATAGCACCAAAATTGGCCAGTGGAGGCCAGATCGGGGATGGGTGGTAATCGGCCAGCAGTGCAACATCAATTTTGTGTGTGGTAAAACCCGTTTTCCCCTGCCCGATCCTGTCCCATGCACAGATCGGGCTGAAAAGTGTATGGATAAACTTCCATGACTCCATCTTAATTTGGAGAGCCAGTGTGGCGTAGTGGTTTGTGTGTTAGACTGTGACTTTGGGGACCGGGGTTTGATTCCCCGCTGGCCTACAAAACCCATTGGGTGATCTTGGCCAAGTCACATGCTTTCAGCCTCAGAGGAAGGCAATGGCAAATCTCCTCTGAACAAATCCTGCCAAGAAAACCCCATGATAGATTCACCTTAGCGTCACCAAAAGTTGAAACAACTCAAGGCACACACAACAACAAAAACCTGATTGATGGTGCCTACAACAGTATCCTTTTGACCTTGGGCAAGTCACACATTCTCAGCCTCAGGGGAAGGCAGTGGCCAGCCTCCTCTAAACAAATCTTGCCAAGAAAATGCCATGATAGATTTGCCTTAGGGTCACTGTAGGCACACACCACACACAACCCAGGTAATAACAGTTCTCACAACTGTTGCTCAGCAGAGGTCCTATGGAGTCTAGGAGAGAGTTCTAAGTATCTCATCAAATTGCAAATCCTAGGATTCTGTCCAGTGGTGGTGCCATGATGATTAAAATGGGACCAAACTAGTATAACTGTGTAGTGTAGATGCAATCAGTGTTTGAAGAAAAGCCTGGTCTTTAGGTTGCTACTTTTCTATAGCAATAGCAATAGCAAGTATATTTCTATACTGCTTATCAGTGCACTTAAGCACTCCCTAAATGGTTTACAATGGGTAAGCTAATTGTCTCCAACAAGCTGGGGACTCATTTTAATGCCCTTGGAAGGATGCCAGTCTGAGTTGACCCTGGAGCTCTAGGTTGGTATCGAACTCACAATCTTGCAACTGTGAGTGAGTGGCTGCAGTACCAGAATTTAACCACTGAGCCACTAGGGCTCTATCTTTCCCCACTCCTTCTCTCCCCCCTCTTCCTCCACCCCCCTCTAACTTTATACAGTGGTCCTCCCACATTCACTAGAATTTGGGGTGAAAGACCCCCATGAATGTGGAAAAATGCAAATAAAAAAACCCTATTCTTTTTATTTAAGAGAACACCTCTTTAGGAATCTCCCAGTCCTCCAAGGCAACCCTATGGTGAACATCTGTCAGAATTTGACCATAGAATCATAGATTCATAGAATGATAGAGTTGGAAGAGACCACAAGGGCCATCTAGTCCAACCTCCTCATTAAGCCAGCTGTCCCCATCTTATATCTATGCATTTTATTTTTTTGCCCTAAGTGCAGTACCTTACATTTCTCTGTGTTGAAAGTCATTTTGTTAGCTTTGGCCCAGCTTTCTAGACTATTAAGATCATTTTGAATTTTCATCCTGTCCTCTGGGGTATTAGCTATTCCTCCTAATTTGGTGTCATCTGCAAATTTGAGATGCATGCCCCCTATTCCTTCTTCCTTTTGTTTTAATTCATGCTGGAGGACCTACAAATGCTTAGAGAAATGTTTTCTCTAGGAATGTCTAGGTTCTCCAGCAGATTTCTGTGGTCAACATCTGGGAGACTTGCACTGGAGGAGCTAGAGATTCCTGGAGAGAAAATATTAATCAAAATTGCAAATAATCAAAGCTGCAAAAGTCAAAGCTGTGAATGTGGAGGGCTGACTGTAGTGGCAAAAGGCTGATGGTAGTCCAGGCTAATTCCAAAGGCAAGCGGTGGTGGTGGGCGAAATAACTCCAAGCGAGGGAAAGCATGTGCACACCATATTTTTCTTCCCTCCCTCTCCCTCTTCCTTTCTATTGCCAAAGCAGAGGTGTTTCATTAACTGCAAGAGGTAAACAGGTCCAGCCTTCGAGGGCAAGAGGCTTCTCTGTGGCCTTGTAAGCAGCAGAGCAAATGAGCTAAGTCTCTCCTTGAGATGGGGGCTTTTCCTTATATGTACATCTGCAGAGTGCCAGGCAAGCAGTGTTGACCCTACTGATCTTCTTGCTTGTGTGTTTTGGGGAGGGTAATTTGATCCCTTCCAGTTTGGCAGGAAAGTTTTTCTTCCCCAAGGGGGGGCTGATCTGACTGTGGAATCATTTTGTGGAATTAGGCTTGCCAGATCTCTGAGCCTCCAGTTTTTTGGGGGTCATTTCCAAGCAGGACACAAGTGTGCGCATTCTCTAGTTTTATCCAGATGTGACAAAAGTGTGGTGTGCAAATCCAGAACAGCAGCTTGCTACTATTTTGCAAGGCTTCCTTGATTTCTTGCGGCAACTTGCCAAATTCTCCAGGCAGTCTATACATTCTCTGGGTGGTCTATGCATTAAGTTAGTTTCCTCCTTCCCTCCTAGTTATTATGGTACCAGGGCTCACCTTCCACTCTGCTCTGTACCCATCTCCTGGCTAGAAGAAAGTAAACTAGATTAGATGTTCCTTATCCCCTCTCACGAAGTAAGTGAGGAGGAATAATTCCTTCATTTCACCTTGATCTGGGAACAGCCCCCAAGCTAAGATTTCTATCTTAATTTCCAAATAGGAAAATTGTGTGTGACAAGCTTTGAGCAACTGTGCATCTCACTTTATGACACCACCAGGGCTGTCCATAGTCTCAGGTTTTGGCCTAGAAATCTCAGGGCCTGGGATGATCCTGAACTAACAACCCTATTGGGAACAGTGGAAAATAAATATTCATTATTAGGAATCAGGAAAACCAGTGTGGTATAGTGTTTTGAGTGTTGGACTAAGACCCTGGAGACCAGGGTTCAATTCACCACTCAGTCATGAAAATCCAGTGTGTGACCTTGTGCAGGTTACACACTCTCAGCCCCAGAAAACCCTACGATAGGTTTGCCTTGTGTTCTGTGCCTTCAAGTTGCTTCTGATTTATGGCGACCATATCGTGGGGTTTTCTTGGCAAGATGAAGTTTGCCATTGCCTTCTCCTAAGCTGAGAGCATGTGATTTGCCCAATATCATCCAGTGAGTTGCATGGCTGAGCTGGAAATTGAAACTTGGTCACCAGAATCATAGTAGAGTCACCATAAGTTGGAAACAACTTGAAGGCACCCAACAATAACAAATTAAGAATCAGGTTGGAAATGGTTTTGATGATAATAATGGTGGTGGTGATGATGATGATGCTTTTTAAAAAGTTAGTTTTGAAGTAGAAAGGGGTTTGCAGAACTTTTCAGAGCCAGATTCCATTTGATGAGCTTCAAGAGAAATCCAGATCTCAGAGTTACAAAGCAGGTAGATGACTTTAGTCTTCTCAAAAGGAGAATGGGGAGGAACTGCCTTCATTTTTGAAACTTCTTTGTTTACCTGAAGAAGCTAAAAGTTTCCTTGCCTAGGGCAGATGATCGCGGTGGAAGCCTTGGAGCAGTTCCAGAAATGATCCTCCCTTTTGTGCATTGGATAGAGGGGGCCAGCTTTCAGCTGTTGGGTCAGGCGAGACCCAGTTCCCTTCTCGGTCAAAAGAGAGGAAGCTCTGGCCAATACCCCTGCCATTTTTCCCAGCCAGATTGACCAAGGCCAGAGTCTTAGAGGCAGTAGTCTTAATTTGTTGCTTGGCTCTCCACAGCTGGAAAGAGGATCAGGTGGACAGCATAGGCTCCCAACCCCATGGAGAGGGTAAAGGGAGAGAGATCAACTGCATTTCTCTCTTTACAGCATTACAGAACAAGACGATTGCGTATGTTAACTTGGGATGCATCCCCACTGCAGGAATAAAGCAGTTTGACATCACTTTAACTGTCACGGCTCCATCCTGTGGAATCCTGGGATTTGTAGTTTGGTGAGGTATTCATCCTGGTCTGTCAGAGAGCTCTGGTGCTTCACCAGACTACAAATCCCAGGATCCTGTGGGACAGAGGCATGGCACTTAAAGTGGTGTCAAACTACATTCTTTCTAAAGTGTAGATGCACCCCTTTGAGATGTTTGTTCCAACTGCACCATTGCCTGTCAGGTTTTGTCCTTGCTATGGTTCTGGGTCGGTGTGGTCCTAAGCATCAGCATTATTGGCTATCTCAACAACCAACTCTACCCCCCCCCTTTGATTTAGGACAATATTTCTCTACATATTGGGAGAAAGACACAGCTGCCTGTCAGATTGTTGGCCCCTCATTCTCAGTGTCATCAGAACCAAGTACCAGTAACTCTCCAGGTTTTTCAGCATAGCTAGAGAAAGGCTGCTTTTCGGACTGTGTTTTGTTTTAATTCAAATTGTGGGCCACTGTGGGTTCTGTATTGGGAGGAAGGTGAGAAGCATAAATGAAATAAATCACTCTATGAAATGAAATTCCATCTCTCAGAATCTCCCAGTCACTAGGGTAAGTGACCATGCCGCTGGAGGATTCTGGAAGCTATAGTTCCCAAGGAGGAATCTTCCCACAAGCTCTTGTTTTCAACAAGGATTCTTTTGCAACCTTATCCGGAGATATTAGGATGAGACCTAGGACTTTATCCATGCAAAGTGTTTACTCCCCCATTGATCCATGGTCCTCCAGTAGTTTGTCTTTCTTTCTGAATATTCTGTTTTTCTACCTCTTCTAGCCTGACCTCAGTGCTTTTAACAGCCTCAGTGTCAGAAATTCAACTGAACATTTTTCTCCTCCTGGCCTGATGGTGAAGTGATGGTTAAAAAGGTTTATATTCTGAACATGTGGAAGTGCTAATGGAAAAGGCAGAGGGGTGGGTGGGTAGAAAGTAATAGTTTCTGTTGTTGGTGTGTGCCTTCAAGTTGGTTCCAACTTACGGAGACATAAATGTGACTCTATCATAGGGTTTTCTGGAGTAGTGTGTGTGACTTGCCCAAGGTCACCCAGTAGGTTTCCATGAGCAAGCGAGGAATCAATCTCTGGTCCGCAGAGTTGATCCCTGGTCTCCAGAGTCATAGTCCAATGCTTAAACCACTATACCACGCTGGTTCTCAGATAACAACAGTACTATACTAGATGGGGGAAAAGCTTGTTGGTGATGGTGATGTGTGCCTTTGTCCTTTCTGACTTATGGGGACTCTAAGGACGTTATCACACGTGGCCCAGAAACTGAAAATAAAGTG